ATTTTGTAATTATTTGTAATACAATAATAAAATCTGGAAAGTGGAGTAAAATATATAACAGAATATTCTGTCATAGATAATTTAGTCATTTAGCTATATTTTTGTCAATTTGAATAAATATTACACTAAAATTTATAAAATATATTCGTATATTAAAAGCGCCCCTAAAAAAGTAGCGCMCTGGGCAACCGCCCAGTTTGCCCGTATCTTGGGCCGGCACTGGGTGTAGTGCAAGGGCGTTCTTAGTGGGTGGTTTGGGGGGTTCAAACCACCTCCAAAGTGACTATCATAATTGTTTATAGAAAAAAAAGTACTATATTTTACAAAATTAAAAACAACTATAAAACAAAATCYTGAGCCAGCCCTAGTGTAGTGTAAACTATGATACAGTAAACTAGACTAATTATTAGTCTATGGCGTAAACGTTTGTTGTAGACATAGAATTTCTATCTACAACTGTAGTGTAAACATTTCCAGTGTCACAAATGGTGCCTGTATTTCAGAGAGCATATAGTCTGCTAGTTGTTCTAAACAACAAATTCTCATAGACATTTATTAAATTTTACTAAAATTAGCTTTACAAATTAACAATTAACAGAAAAAATTGTAAGAAAGAAGAGATATCGAGGGGGAGGAGTTAAAGCTCTAGAACCCTATTTTGCGTACTCCAATGAAAACATTGTATTTACTAATTTAATATAGTTTTGTTACATTAACAAACCTCTTAAGCATGGCTTGCTTCTTCGTCTAAAATARATACCAGTCACTTTTAGAGCTCGTGGTATTTCATCATTTAAATTGCAAGCAAATACAAAGCTACACAAACTATGAAAATGAACAAGTAGTACAATAGCATGTCCCAAATCTGACATTGACCACGAGTTTGGACCTTTGACGACTTTCTATTAAAAAATAAATAAATAAATGTAAGTTATTTTGTATACTAAAGACAGCATTAAATTATTATAAATATAAAAATAATAATTTAATGATTTAATTATAATTAAGTTATCATAGTAAGTAATAGTTAGTCAGTGAACTGACATAACAACTATGTATTATGAGGACATGATACACCCATGTGTTGTCTACGTCTTACAAGTGTAAAATAGTACATTTTACGCTAAGCAGATCACGTTTAGCTCCATTGGTTTAAAAATCAACCTTTTACACAATTTAAAGGTAAGAGTATTATTTAAATTACATYATGGACTTATTAGTTATTAGTTTATTACTATATTTTAATTCTGAAACAAATTGTTAATCTTTTGTATATCTTAAAATACTTATAACTTGTTACAAAATCAAAATATAGGAAAAGCCCATGAGATCGTCTAAATAATACTCTTATCTTTAAATTTTATTAGAGGTCAATTTACAAAAATGCATATCTATTATTTTACATTAATAATAATTTAAATTGAATAATTACATTAATTATACATATATAATTAATGTATTTATGTATTTATTTATGTTAATGTGTTTATATATTTTATGATAATAATAGATTAAACTGTGTAGGTACTATATTAAATAATTATGTTATTGACCTAATGGGACAAATTAAAAAATCATAAAATATACTCATTGTATTAATAATAATCACCATACAATTAATGACTGCCTTGTTAGTTACCTACACAAAATAATGTTATTATAACAGTTTTAAATTATAATTTTAGAGAATAAAAATTAGATATTAATAACAAAGTATTTATTATTTTTTGTTTGTTTTTTTTTTTTTATAGGTACAAAATGTTATAGAACTAATATGTATAAACTTGAATAAAAATTCATCAATCATTTAATTTATTATCAGCAATAAAAAAAAAAAAAGAAAAAGATGAAATACGTAAAAACATGTAAAATAAAATTTTTAACTTTGAAACACTCGTTACATGAAATGAATTATGTACTTGGAAAGCATTGGCTAAGATTAATCAAAAAGTATGCACCTTGCATTGAAATCCGTGCCCTAGTTATAACTTATAAGTAAAGTGACATCATTGTCACCAGACTGATGTCTTATGAGCACTGATGTACAAAGTACAAACCAATTTTAGAAAATTAATCATTTCACAGTATAATATATTTTTTTTTTATAATTATAGATTATAGTTGTAGGTGAGTACAATAAATTGATGATGGATACATTGCATAATGTAGACACTGCACAGAACTAGAACTATTAATGAAATTTAAATAAAATTATTAAAATATAATAAA